TATATTATAGGAACTAATATATTTAACAACGTCGTCTGTGATTGATAATTTCAGTTTCTGTACCGAACATAAATAACTTCCAATATGATTTTATTGCAAATGCTTTTCGACCACATCAAAATCATTTTAGTCATTGGCCCATAGAAGGAGGTTCGAAAATATACTATTTACTGGTAGGGTTAACACAAACGGGGGGGAAAGGGGTGAAAAATTGCGCAGGTTTTACCATGCTGTGCAACGGATTACGCAATAAGTCGCCCTTCCTGTGTGCGGTAAATTGCGCAGGTTTTTTTCTAGTTTGGTATCCATTATGAGGTATCTGTGGTCGAATCAGAATCTCGTACTCGACCATGTTTATCTGTTAGAGAGTTCACTGAAAGTCGTCCAAGTAGTAGACGTCTCTAGCAGGCTGGGTGTTGGAGGGGGTACATTGTTTAGCTGAAAATAATCGGTCAAATTTGTCTCCGAAGAAGCAGAAAATAAGTAATATAATTTTAGAGGATTTTTATAAATAGATGTGTATGTCCGATGCAATTTAGTCCCGCTCAAAAAGGAACTTAAAATGGAGGTTTTCGTGACAGAGAGAGGACAAAAAAATATGTATATAATGAAATATAATAACAATCTTGTTAATTGGCTAGCGGAAGAGGTCTTCTACTTCATCTTGTACTTATAGAATTTCAAGTCGGTACCTTGTCGAATACCTGAACAGCCTATGACATACTCGATACTGAAAATCCCTGCGCAATTTTCCAACAGGTTTTGGAAAATCTCTTTGAACTTTCTGACAATAGGATTAAAAACCTGCGCAATTTTTCGCTGCCCTGGGTGGGATACCCCCGTAATGAACGATGAAGACTCTCAATAACCCCACCCCCTCCCCTCTATTACGCCCTGGAAATTGGAGTAGTGTGTTTTGCAAGCAAAGTGAAAAACCTAATCATTACAAAGAAGACACCTATGAAAATATAAAAAGAAATAAGTGTCACGACGTGGTGGAATCAGGCGCTCGTCAATTTTAGGCATGTAGAGTTATTATTATTATTATTATTATTATCTTGAAGCTAGTTCATTTGTCTTGCATTTTGCGTAAAAAAATACCCACGCACCTAGAATAGAAGTCGAACTATTTGAGATTGAAGGAGGTGGGGGTCACCTAGTGTGAGAACTAAAGTCAGTGAGAAAAAAGCTGCCAATGTTTGGTGACTTCCAAAGCTTGGGTGTCTTTAGAAACGAAATTTACAGGGTTTTTGTAAAGTCACCAGACTTTAATCAACCTTTTTTTTTGGGAGGGGGGTGGAGGAGGTTGGCAAAATCCCACATAATTGTGTTTTTAGAAGGTTAAAAAAGGTCTCAAGTCCAAAAACAGAATTTTATTTTTAATTTTAAAAATGCCCAAATGCACAGTAAAATACTGGTTTCTTTGATTTTATTGTTTTTGACGAGCGCCTGATCTTACCGTGCTGCCTCACAATTTGTTTTAAAGTCTGAGTGGCGTGTCACCTGTCACCATTGCCGTGTTAGTTTGTTGGTGCCTCACTGTTTGCCACAACAGACCCCCATTTTTCCTTTATTAAAAAGACTCAAGTTCAGACTAAACTAAAGCCAATCCTGGTATTTTTCGGTTAAAACCATGATAGCTCATGTGACGTACCTGCCTCTAACATTCTGTCTCTATGATAGTCAAGGTTACATACCTGTCTCTAACACGCTGTCTTTATGACAGCCCATGTTACATACCTGTCTCTAACACGCTGTCTCTGTGATTGCTCACGTGAAATACCTGCCTCTAATACTCTTATCTCTATGATTGCCCAAGTTGCATACTACCTGTCTCTAACACATTGTCTCCACGATAGCCTACGTGACATATCTGCCTCTAACACTCTTGTCTTTATGAAAACCAAGGATACATACCTGTCTCTAACACGCTGTCTTTACGATAGCCAAGGATACATACCTGCCTCTAACACTCTTGTCTTTATGATAGCCAAGGATACATACTTGTCTCTAACACGCTGTCTTTATGATAGCCCACATGAAATACCTGCCTCTAACACTCTGTCTCTATGATAGCCAAGGTTACATAACTGCCTCTAATACTCTTGTCTCTATGATAGCCAATGTTACATACCTGCCTCTATCACGTCTCCGCCATGATTGCTATCACTGCCCAGAGGCTACTCCGACGTCCTGAGACTCCTTCGGCTAAAATAGCGGGAAGGGAGATACTGTTTTGGCAACAGGTCAACTCATAAAAGACGATCAATATCCCTGTGTGGCCATAGAACCTCACCCGCATAAGGTGTTGAGTTCAACTTTTTTCTACAGCTTTCTTTTTTCACAACCGAAAAACATAGCCTAATTTTTTCAACAGCTTTTCAATAACCTGAACAACGGGAATCAGCCTGATCTCAATAATAGACCCTTACGGCCCACAAGAGTTCACGTGTCAATTTGGAATCCAAGGCGAACTGCTTGTTCTTTTGATATCGTGCTGGGATACATTGCAGATGGACCTGGTTCGAATCTCCAGAGGGTCTGTAAGGAACGTTGATTGTTTTGGTCGTTTTTAGGATTTTCCTCCATTTTTGGTTGTCTCTTCAAGTAAGAGATGTGCATTAAATTCAAGAAAACTGACGAGTCGCCTACATGTTATTGCCATGTAATATAAAGAAGATGTGTTCTGCCTTGAAACCTACAGCTCAAAGAGATATTTTTAAAAAGATCACTCAGTTTTCACTTTTTTCTGACGTAGAGAATCTCTTCTAATATCTATGATGTGTCCTCTACCTCTCTCAGGACTCCTGCAAAAGTATTTTGCTGAACTTGATCACCATCTAATAGAAACCGAGCAAAACTTGAGTTAAATGATAAGTTTATGTACAATCTTTTATGTCACTGAAGAAGATACACAGACACAGACACATACACACACACACATACACACACACACACACACACACACACACATACACAGAGAGAGAGAGAAAGAGAGAGAGAGAGAGAGAGAGAGAGAGAGAGAGAGAGAGATACAGACAGACAGACAGACGGACAGACAGACAGACAGACAGACAGACAGACAGACAGACAGACAGACAGACACAGAGAGAGAGAGACAGAGAGACTGAGACAGAGAGAGATGGAG